AGGAGGTGGAAGATGCCGAGATTGTACATATTTTTAGAAATTTTCGAATATGTATATTGTATAATATCTAAACTTTAATATGATTAATTATAAGATTATAATAACGAAAAGTGGAAGAAAATATATCGATTTAAGATGATTTATATGTACAGTATATTGATTACCTTCGTCAAGAGTATTTAGATAAGATACTATATTTGAACAATGTAACTGACGGAAATCTCTTTTTGGTATTGTAGTTTGTTGTTTTCCACATATGACCGTTATATATCAATCGAAAAAAGTTGGTAAGGTAATAAAATTTCTGTTTATCAATAGAGTAATGGCCATTAAATGGGTATTCTGCCAAATACGCTTTTTTTATATATATATATATATATATATTATTTTAAGAGGTAATTTTATTTGTGAAAAGAAAATCTCTACGAAATATTTTTTTTCTTTATTCACTTAAATTTTTAATGAAATATATTTATTAGATTTTTTTTTTAAATATCTTGAATATATTATTTTATCGGTACTTTTGCTAGTTATTCAAGTTTTCAACAGATAGGTTGAAGCCCTTGTGTCGTATGATTGTTAAATGTAGGTAATATGTAATTTTAAATTAACAACGTAGAGTGACACACATTTTAAATGAAGATGCATACATATAACTACATACCTAACTAAGGAGGGACGTCGAGAATGCATCCGTTTTGTTATAAGATTAAATAGTGTGCAATTCCTTAGGATATAATATACAATAAATTAACTATACGTTTTTCATTTTCCATACAACGAAGCAATTTATGAGTGAAATTTCACTTAATTTCATAGCAATAAATTGAATAAAACATATTTATTACGAAAGAATATAAAACAAAAAAAGCTTGATAAACCACATAGGTGGTAGTTATTTTTTTAACCAGATAAATAAGTACATAAATTACTATAACCTAGGCGTCAATTGATATAGTTTTATGTAAATATACTGTCAATCTTTAGATAAAACTTTTTAGATTCTGAGTGAAACGATGAATGTATTGATTTTACAATGATGTGTGTTTTTTTATTTTTTTTTTTATTTTTTTTTTTATTTTTTTATTTTTGTGTCTGTCATCACGTTTTAGGACAGTAAAAGTGCTTGGATTTTCTTCATCAGTAGCTTTTCTGATAGGAAAGTGAATCTAGTTGGTACTTTGGGGGGTCAAAAGTATAAATTTCCCAGTAGTTTTCACAAGCGCCGGGAAAAACAACATAAAAATTAAGGAAAAAACGGGAATTTTTACGCAAAATTGGTTTTCCAAAAAATCGATTTTGGTTTTTGGTGTAACTCTGAAACAAATGAACGTATATACATGAAATTTTCACTGGTTGTTTATATTTGCATTTTCTATACACGATAACATTTTCAAAATATTTTGATTTATTTTGAACTGTTTAGGGACATTTTCATTTTCCATTTTTTTTTAGTTTTTTTTCTAAAAATATCAATAAAATTTTATTTGTTGGTTGCGAAAGCTTGAAAATTTAATAGAAGGCTCCTAATATATTGCTTCAAAGGCAGATGAAAAATATTAAAAATCCTTAGTCACAATTTTTTTTTATAAGCATTTAAAGTTCAAAAATTGACAAAATATGGGAAAATCACGAAAATTAGCAAATTATTTTGAGTTAAGAATTCGTAAAAATTTTTCTTTTTAAATCTAAGATTTGAAAATTAAACACAAGATTCCTTATAAGTTTGTCTACCTTTATCAAAAGAAAAATGTTTATAAGAAAGTCAAATTAAATTTTTATGAGCGTTTGAAATTCAAATTTTTACAACATTGAATATTCACTCGATTTCCCATGTAGCGATTTCCTTATTTTGTTGTAATTCAAAAACAAATAACTGTAGATACATGAAAATTTCACTGAATGTTTAAATTAGCATTTTCTATACACCATACAATTTTGAAAATATTTTGACTCTTTTTGAGCTGTTTATGGACATTTACAGCTTTCAATTTTTTTTAGTTTTTTTTTCTATAAATATCAATAAAGTTTTATCTGTTGGGCCAAAAAGTGTAAAAATTTAATACAAGGCTCCTGATATATTGTTATAATATCAGTTGAAAAATATTAAAAATACATAGGCACAGTTTTTTTTTATAAGCATTTAAAGATCAAATTTTGACAAAATTTATCAAAATCTCGAAAATTATCAATCATTGTAATTAATAAATTATAAAATGTTCAGTTTTTATAGCTAAGGATTGCAAATTCAACACAAAGGTTCTCGTAAATAGTTCATACTGTAACCAAAAAATCTAAAAAATATATGAACACAGTTATTTTTTACAGACATTTTAAATTCAAATTTGGACGAAATTTCATATTAAAAAACCTAGAATAACTATTTTAGTTATTTTGTTGTGATTGAATAATATTATTCGTGGATACTTGAAACTTCTAAAGTGTACTTTTATATATCTATGATAGTATCACGGTTTTTGTTGATGTATAACGCGTTATAAGTACCTAATGGATATTTTGATATGATTAATTTGGAATTTATTATAGGTACCCATTATAGGTCAATTTTTTGTTTAATACCATAGATATGTATATAATATGTCTTATACATAGACTGACATACCGTCTGCGCTCAGAATCGTTTTTCTTATACAATGATATTATATCGTTGAATTCAAATTTAATATCATCCATTATACAGTGACCCACTTGTAACCTACTGTACAGCAGAGCGACACCCACTTGCCCACCTTTTTTTTAAATGTGTTGTTCTCTACTTAGCGTACTAAAATAAAATACACAATAATATCATAGGACATCTGCAACCATAGTAAAGTAACTACCTAATAACTAACGCTGTTTCATCGTTTCGCACAGTAAATATCATTGTTTTGAATAAAATTATGACCACCATGTATTTCAGTGTTTCACTTATGATTAGTTTTCTTCAAAACTTATTATATTTCTAACTTTTAATCATTTGAATTTACTAATCTATTGAACATTTGCAAAACTGTTCAAAATACATAACAACTTTTAAAATATACAGAATAAGAAAATAGCAGCTTAATGTAAAAGTGACTGTAACATAAGCACCTACGACCTACATACAACACATTTTCAAAGAAATACTCCGAAAAAATCAGGTATCATAAACTTATAATTTTTTTTTTTTTTTTGTAATACGAAGAATTTTCAGTATTTTTACTATTTTAGTTTAATTTAAATTGTAAATATAAAAATATTAGGAACTATCAATGTTTGTATACATTTTATAATTTAGTTTATAATGCTATTTAAAAAAAAATAATTTTAGATATAATGAATATCGAATAATATTACAATATATAACTATATATTATAAGTAGATTATGTACTTTTATAAATATTTCTTTAAATTTAAAACATAATAAATATTTATAACTAGATCAATTAATAACTTTACATTTCTATTATATAAATTATATTTCACTCCACAAAGACATCCGCATTAAACAAATTTACACCCATCACGTGCAAAAAAAACTCACAAAGGGTTAGAAACCACTTGAGGTTCTTCAGTCAACAGTCACTCCTGTAAACAAATTCCAGGTAACCCTCTTAGACGCCTGAAAAGGAACTGGTATAGCTAGGACCCTTCTCCAGCTTCAAATCAGCACGTTCCAATAATTCCCTGTCTAGTTTTATTGTGACCTTATAATATGTGATATAATTTTATTGTTGTAGAACTCTTACACACAGTTTGTATATTATAAATTGAAGAGTTTTTATATGATAAGAAAAAAATTATACGAAATAAAGGACCACTTAAAAGCCGTAATAATATCATTGATTTTCGCAATTATTTGAACTACCTACATTGAAGTCGTTCGAAATGTATACATTATTAGTATATAGTTCTTCATATCTCAGAGATTATTCAAAAACTAATGTGAAAAATAAAACTAATTTGTTTATTATTAATACACCTACTTCATCACTACAATTATCATTTATTACGAAAAGCCAAATTAAATGTCGGACTTCAACGTGTCACTGCCGCTTTCTTAATAAATTGTGTCCACGCCTTATTAATAACGATCGTCTATTAATATAGATCGACTGAGTTAAGCTCAATTTATTTATTTTATGTCGTAATAACAATATTAATAATAATTTTAAAAAAATATCAGTAATTCTTAAATGAAGATATTATAAAAGTAATACAAATAAATTGATAACACTATATCGACATTTAGAAGAAATTGAAACGTCCACAAGGACATAATATGGGAATAACTGAGTTATCGTTCATGTACACGACACTATTTTACACATGACATTATATAATATCATAATAATATATCCGATGACCGTGGGTTTCACATTAAATGTACAGCTGATGATGAAGCATTTGTCAAAAGTTAAAAGGGTTATAGTTTTACATAATAATGGTATCATGGTCTTGTCGTCGTTTATGCTCGCGCAGAGCGATTTCCATCATCGCGAAAAAAATATTTAAAAACTAATCATCGAATGGAGTTGAATACAAACATATTATTTTTCTCGACCGTCCGTCATGACTGAAAAATAGTAACCAGCGTTCTACATCAAAGATGTGAACGAGACCAAAAAAAAATAAAAATAAATATCAAATATACCTCTGTCTGAATTTGTTTACATTCGACGATCCCGCAGAGCATGGTCAATTTTTGATATTACATCATAAGTGGAATTGTACAATATTATATTATTATTATAGTTATATTGAAGTCAAAGTTTAAAAAAAAAAATAAGTCCGAAAAATCTGCTTGGCGAGACGCACGGAATTAAGTATGAATGACGTAGTTATAGAAATGTCGTAAGACGTGTTTTGCATGCATGGACCTATATATTATATTATTATAACCACATCACACTTGTGGACGTTTGTGCATTTCGAAATTGGGGCAAACAGTATCCCGTATAGATAATTAATATAATATTGTTTATATCGAACCGACGACGTGTTATTGTTTTAGGCGGTTACAGCAGGGCAAAAACAACAACAAACAGTGCGATCAACAGACGCAGATACCCGACGCGGTATCTGCTGGCGCCAGTGACTCGAGGAATTTCCGGTTGAAGACGCTCAGACTTCAGCTGAATATGAACCCGTCGACACTGAATTTGAGGTACATTCAAGTATAATAATATATTATATACGGTCAAGTTTAAATCGCCGCAGACCGCTTTACCGTCCACGGAATATAACTGTTGTAGGTCTGTGTCTCGTAAAAAATGTGTACCGTCGTCTCGGTGGTTAGGTACACATTTTTTTAGCACACTCGGCCCAATAACAATGATCAATACCGTATAATAATACACCTGCCCCTCGCGTTATTGTACTCGTGCAAGGGAAAAAAAGAGATCGGTGTTTTTTACCTTTTCAATTTTCTTTTTTACCGACCACCGACGTAGCCGCGGTCGCCCTATACAGGTACCTCTTTTGTCGGAGGACGCATAAAATGTATAATAGGTATCCTGGTCTAGGCGAACGAGAGCTCACGTCCCGTCTCCGCCGGTGGTCGGTTTATGGATTTTTGCGCACTTTTCGCCAGGCGAACGGAGAAAACTGATTTCTACCCTATTGTGAACATCCCGTACACCGGATCAATCAACCCGAGGAAACAGCCCCATCCCCAAACCCCACTCATCCCGTCTTCCCGTTCCGCCGTACGCAATGAATGGAAAACATTCCGACGTCGGACGAATGGGAGCCATTGAATATTGACGAACTGCATCAGGTTTTTGCCCCCCCCCCCTGTACCTTTGTTGCCATAGCATAGGCACCGTGCCACACGGATTACGGGAGATGCCCACACGGAATAATGCGCCGCAATAGCCGCCGAAGAAAACATATTACCCGAACGCTCAGGAAATACAAACGAAACAGACGCGTTTTCGTAAGACGTGCATGTCCGCGAATCGATGGATTTGATTGAGTTTAATAATATACAATTTTAAGATAAAAAAAACACACAGACCGCCGTCCGACAGACGAAGAAATGCTCGAAGCGAGGGTTTTCGTTGTTATTATACGACTTAATTTTTAAAACGCATTATAATATCATTATCCCTTCGGTTATGCGAGTAGACTATACGGTTTTATAACCACCTTCGCCGCGCGATGACTGTATTTGTTATTTTCATATTTTGTCCTAGAGAATATTATTATAGAGGACTTAAATATTTTAACCAATTGGTAAAATCACTATAATTACTATTTCAATGGCGTTACGAGTCAATCCGAAGTTTATTCGAGGTACGTTTCTGAGCTGAAATTAAATACGCTACGTTTCGAATGCGTTTTCTTTTACATATTTACGAAAACCAATAGAATTAACATGTAATTATGCGATGAACAAAACAAATGTTCATAAATAATCAAATTACTATTTTAAACGGTTATATATTCATTTATCGGTTTATCGGTATTGAATAGTGAATACTATAAATATTAAGAAAATAGTTATTGTACGTCTGTCTTATACAAACAATTCATCTGGATAAAAGTTTTGAAGGAAGCTGTGCCCCATTGTGCGTAGTTTGAAGATTATAAAATAATTTTAATTTTATAAAAATGCCTTATCTCAAGAAAATGTCTGGTGTTATTAATAATACATGGAATTAAAATTAATTAAAAAATTAAGCTATTTATGATGTGATTTTTTTTTACTAAATCTGGAGGGTGCCTTAATCGTACCCACTATATTATAATAGTTGATTGTTATTAATTACATTATAACTCTTATTAAAGTATACCTAAAATTCCAAAATATTAATTAGGTTTAAATTATATATTTATTAAAGCCAATGATTTAATTTTCAGTTTATTCAATTATTTAGAGTGAAGTAAAAAGTAATAAAATAATAAAAAAGTTGGGTAAGCCACAGTTGTCTTGACATTTTACCAACAGTTTAAATGTTTAATACTGACCAATTTCCAATTTATAAAAATAATGCAAGAACATTTTTGAATTTTGCATTGCCCCCAAAATTGTTTTTGAAAAAAAAAAAGACAAATCTTCAGCATTCTACGACCAAAAACATAGATCCACCTCAGACTATGAAAATCATTATTTATTAACTAATGAAAAATCAACCAGAATATTTCAGAAGGGGATAAAATGGTATCTGCTCATTTCCGACAAGAATATAATATATAATATATGAATATATTCTATTTAAGAATGACCATTAGACATGTATTCATGAAGATTTAAGTTGAAAATAGGGTGGTTTTAAACTTGACCTATTTTTTGCGGTATAAAGTTTTTTTTTTTTCTCTAAATTATGCGTAGTATGCGACCAAGTTTTTGGGTTGTAAAAGTGCTCCAAAAGTTTCACTGAACAACTTCTTCAATTAGAAGAATCGATTTATCGAGTTTATTGGTACTTTAGCAAAGTATAATGTTCCAATTTAGAAATTATACTGTTTTGAGAAGCTATCACAAAATAGCGAAAATGATAATGGTAAAATGTACGGTATCTAAACAATTTGGTAATTTTTATGTTATTTAAAAATAATTAAACAAATGATTTGTGTTTGATATAATTGTAAATTAAAATGTACATGAAATAATTGTCAAGGTAAAGTATCGAATTGTTGACCTAAATATTTAATTGAAAAAAATTTGTTTGAGTTGTCAGATTTTCACAAATAATATTGGGAAATTAAGATGGCGTCACACACCCAATTTTGGAGAGATTTATACTATAGGCAATTATAAATACATATTGAGAAAAATGAAAATGTTTAATATTTTCTTTTAATATGAATTCAAAGTAACTTGCAAGTACTCCCATGTCAGTATCATCGTTAGTTTAGTTGATGCGCGTAATAATATTACGAGAATATATTAATATAGAAAAACTGTTTGCGTGGAAAAGAACCACTTAAGGTGTAGTAGAGGATGTCGGTGAACTATTAATTTTCTCTATCCGAACCACGCGTAGCATACTAAATGTGCGTTCAGCTGATCTAATTTAGTGTTTTTAGCTCTAATAATAAAGGGTGAATTTACTATTATCAGAATTAACGATAAGAATGAATTTTGACGAGCTCGTGGACTTAATATATTATATTTTTAACTTTGAAGCGAGATAAGAGCGTTTTAAAATTGTAATATTTTACAAAGTTATAATAATAGACTTTAAAATTAAAATATCAATAAAACTACAGAATATTCTTATTTTCGAGTTTGATAATAGGTGAATTTACTCCAAAGTTAAAGCTAGCATCACAATATTGGATCTTGTGAACACAAATTAGCTGTGACGTGGTGATGCGGTTCATAGAAAAAAAATCAAAAACACATAAAAATGTTGTCTTCTGTATCGTATATAAATGTATGATAATATCAACTATGACTGTAATCTGAGAGGTTCTTTATTCTTTTACATTTGAAACGGTTTTGTATGGGTATACTTGGTAGGTACAATACTAATCAATCCTATTTATAATATCATCATATAGTATGTTGTTCAAAATTTCAAACAGTAATTACATTTTGTTTTCATCACAAGGGAGTCTGAAATTACTAACCAACATTACGGTTTAAATTAATTTAAATTGCACAATAATCATATTTATTTTAATTAGAAGGCATTTGTAGTCTTAGACTAAAATTACATTTTAAATACAATAAAGTGAATAATTATTATTGTAATATTCTTTACTGTATAATTTCATACATTTCTCAAATCTTTAACCATTGAATAATTTCACGAGGAAATTACGATTTTAAATCCCACCTATTTAATGAATACCTGCATAATATTATTATAGAAATTAGTAATTCAACTCAGATCCATTTTTTGTCGACGATAATTTTCAGCTTATTACTGTTTTAGCATTTTCAGGTATTTATAGAATGGGCATTGCTCGCGATCTCTGTATCATATTGTGTACTTACCTACAACTTTTTATTATTAATACTTCCTTATAGTTGATAGTTTATTTATTTATTGATCAATACTACCGTATTAACCTACAATATGAGTGTCAGTGTGTCACACAATTTATGATGATAAATGCGATAACGATGGCGTATCGAATAAAATAACCTGTCCTTGATCTTAGATTATGTACTACAAAACAATATACACGTAACCTATTCAAGTGTAAGGCACTTAATTGTTGTTATAAGTTATATATTTAACGTATCCTCCATTATTTGGAAAATATCCATCGACCATTTTATTATACGAAAGGCCATTTAATAACCTTAACCATATCCTACATATAATATTATAATGAATACAGTGTCATAATGTAATTTAGGTATAACTATATAATACCTTCGACATTTTAAATTCATGAAATATTAGAAAATAATATACGAACTATAGTAAGTTAATGCCGCTTTGGTATTTAATATTTTCTTAATGTTAATTTCCGGGAACACGATATTATGGATGCTTTATACTTCCGCGTTTATACTTGGGAGATTAGTTTTAAATAATTTAATTTTAACATACCTAATAATAGTGTATAATTAGTGTCTGCTAAAAGTGACTATATATGAGAGAAATTATTTTTATTATGCTATTAGTATAATATTATAATATACATATGCTTTGATTTAGTTAATCGCTTTAATAAAACGGTTTTTAATCAATTTATCTTGTGTGTATATAACATTGTAATCTATATAATAGATAGTTATTTTCATTTATGAATGATAATATATTATATATATTTTGAACAAATTAATTTGTTCATAATGAGTAATGACTGAAAACTATAGTTTCGAGGTACACACTATATGCATAATAATATGTCCATATAGTAATTGAATTACAAATGACAAAGTCGTTTATATAGTTGAAAAGTATGTATGAATTATTATATTAAATTGCTCCAACAGCTATGTCTTAGATATAAAATGTGTACAGTCTGAAGTGGAATTCAAAAAACTCGTTAGACCCTGCAATCAAATAAATGATTTTAGTTATTTAGTGTATTGAAAATTGTATTTCATCATATTCGACTAACACGCTATTTATTACTGAATATCATTGAATTATGATGGTGTAATAATATGTATGCATATACCTACTCCAAGTACCTAATATATAAAAATCCTATTAAATAAATTACAATGAACTCTCCAAAAATATTATTTTCAAATAGATTTTTGTCGTGGATTGAAAAGTATTATATAAACGCCTTTTTATAACGAATAAAGACTATAAGCCTTTTTTGGGTACTTTTCACCACGAAAAAATATATGACATGCATTTTTAATATTATACTATATGGAGTATGCACAAATGCATAGTTTTCAAGTAATTGCATATTTTTTATAAATAGAGACGATTATTTATACTTTTACTTTATCATGATCAAATATGTGTCCAGGTATTTAAAACGTATATTATTTTATAAGCACGGTTACTAAAACTCAATTGAAAATTTTATAATAGTCAATGAAATATAGGCGTATAAAAAAAAAGGTTTAAAATGTAATTTTCCAAAGTTATTTGTGGTGTAGATAGGTAGAGATACTCATACACAGATAATATATAATATAATTTATACATTATATAATTGTTAAATTAATATTTTAAAAGTGAATCAACATGCAATTGATTAATGTTATTAATTTTTTTTTTTTTTTAATTGGATAACCAGTGGCAACATAGACCATTGGGTGTGGGGAGGGAACTGTTTGGTTTTAGGTTGGGTATGTGGGTACACGTGTGTGTTGTGTTTTGGCAGAATTTCTAATGGGACACCCTTAGGTTTCTGCAATGCCCCCGGTGGGGGATGAAGGCACTTGTTCTCCGGACACCGTGACTTGCCCGAAGAAAAATGACCCCCGCCCCCGAGGTATCGAACCAGCGTCGGCTGCATCGCACCCGACGCCTTAGTCCGCTCGGCCACTCCGTCCCCCAATTAATTATTATATTATTATCAGTATATATGTTATATAATATGTGTAAAAAAACATGTATTTTCATGATTTTATTTTTTAATTATTATTATTATTCCTTTTATTAATACTACCTATATTGTTCGGCGAATTGACCATAAAACGAAAAAAAATGTATATTATATTTTATACCTGCTGTTATAATGATATACGCGTCCTTACAGATTTCTCGCCAATAGACAGAAGCGCCAAAGCCTGGCGGCCGCCAACGCCGTTAGAACCGAACAAAAGGCCAGCAAAGTGTTGGGAGTGGTGTTCTTCACGTTCGTGTTATGCTGGTCACCATTCTTCCTGTTGAACATCGTGTTCGCCGTCTGCCCAAAGGAAAGCTGCCCGGTACCCGACCACGTGACCGAGGTGTGCCTCTGGTTGGGATATGTGTCCTCGACGATAAACCCGATAATCTACACGATATTTAACAAGACGTTTAGAGCCGCATTTATCAGGTGATTTGAATAATGGTCTATATGGCGAACGGTGCGAAATTAATTACAGGTGGTCAGTGTGACAGTGTCTGAGTGTCGAGTAGGTATATGTGTTGCTACGATATAAGGTACTGTATACAAGCGAAGAGCTCAGATTTTGTGAAAGGGATGGGGGATATGAGTTTTTTGCTATTTACAGACCACGTTATAATAACGTGATCAAATATTATACTTTCATTGTTTTATCATAATATATATTTTATAAAAGAAAAAGGTGGTGAGATATGGCATAATACGACACCTTCACCCCCCCCCCCTTCACACCTGTACGACACAATTGGTTGTCTACTCGTCTACCCATCCTCCGATGGTTTTCAGTGCTATAATTTCGTATAATATTAAAAACTGTAATAACGATGATGGGTAGGAACTAAAATGAAAAATACGAAAAAATCCTGATGTTAAAATATTGATTAGAACCGTAGTGGCTTGAGGTAGATTTCATTCCGACGGATTATTGAAACGGGTTGGTCTAGAATATTGCGGTACTGTAATTAAATTTATGATCGACCGAGCAGTGTTCTTAGAACTTTCCAATTAAAAAACCTAACGTAATATAAATAAAGTTTCCATTGTGTTTCAACAACAGTGTAATGCTTTTTTTCAGATTTGTCCAACAAAAATATAGCGCGATGACAAATGATTTTTGTTGCCGCTAAATATTATTGAATACGATCGATCGGGGGTAGGTACATTTCGAAAAACTTCGAGGACATTGCTGCTATAGAAAAACCATATTATTTATTATACTTTATTTTTCCGTAAAAAAAAAATCACGTCCAAATCCAAATTATTGTGGTCTTACGTAAGGATAATTTGAAGTTTATTGTCTGGCTATAGTGGCTGCAGCTGATAACTCGTGAATTATCGCATCACCTTTCTACTCATCTTGCAGACTCTTCTAATCCGCACGAATAGAAAAAAGTAAAACTATTCCGTGATCGTGTGTGCCAATATCGTTTACGAGGCGGTTTACACAACACCAACAGTTAATATTTTGCTATGAACTGTGAAATCCAAATTCAAATATACGTAATCGCCAATCGGTTATAAAAAGTTTAAAAACACCTAAAAAAATAAATCCCGAAAAAAAATAAAATGTATAGAGATATATTATATAGAGATAATTGCTATGATAACAATAGTGGTATAACAATAAAACGTAACGTTAAAATGATAATAACGAAACAAATTACGTTCGACGTGCTGGCGGTGTTCTCTCGCGCATTATGATTGTAGCTGTTTTGGGTCGGAGAACATAATATTATATTATGTACTAGGTATGTATAGGTAATTTAGTGATAGCCTTTTAATTATTATTTTAACTATAGTCGGGGAACTACAGGAAATACAGTCCAAATAATATTATGTTCTTGTTGATATACATTTATTATTACACATAATCAACATTAAATATTATACAGTGTTTCGAAATACTTACGTATTATAAACATCCCAAGTTCTATATTATTGTTGGCGTTAGTACATTGAATTATTGAACTTAACACGATGTGTATTTTTAAAGTTTTAACCAGTGGCCTATATAGGAGGGGGGGTTAACTCCCTTCTTGTAATTAATTCCTATAAACGCCACTGGCTCTAACATGAGTTTAATAGAATAAACTATAGTTTTCAATAGTATTATTATTTCCATGATTCAGGGATTTATTACATTGGCACAGGTGGGCATTAACTATTCAAACAATCAAAGCTAATACTTAAAAAGTTATAACTTTATGTATATAGTAATAGATACATTATAGTTATGAATATCAACTAGCTTAAGTATCAAATGAAATAACTTAGATTTTTCTGGTTAATTTGAGTGATAATTCGTACAGTAAAATAATGTTTCTAGGTACTATAGTTTACAAGTTTATACAGTTAAACTAATTTATACTTTAGTTATTTTTCGCTAATAACTTTGCACTTATACAATAATTTTAAATACGGTTAATATACTGCAAAATTCCTTGATTTAAAAATGCATTTAACACTGACGTAAAATTCTTTACAGTTAGTGCACAATAACAGGAAATCGTACAATGCATTTTAACGTAGATGTAGGTATGTTTTTGAGATGGGTACTTACAACTTTTTTTTTCTAACCGATTCTCAAGTGCACAATTTTGTAACGCTTTTTTTATTGTTATAGAAATGCAAATAAAAAAGAAAATTAAATTAAATTCCTAACATAATGCTACTATAATATAGTATTATATATTTATATATTATTAGTATTTATTATATTTTCCCACTGCACTATACCTAAAAAATAATAATAAAAATATGTTTTCCTTGCAGAGGAAAAGTATCTAGTAGCACACTACTTTTAATTTAAAAAAAATATTTAGAAATATTATATTTTAAACAAATTTGCATTTAATTAAAAAATAAAGAAATATTTGAGTTGAATGATTCAAACTGTTCATATAGTAGCTTTAAACTTTTTCAGTTAAAAATATATATTTTATTTTAACTATCATTTTATAACTTAACGTTCTCATAGCGTTTACCTAACTCAATACTAACTGAAGTCAATCGTTTTTCATTAAATTGCCAATTCTCGTATTTATTATTTAATGAACCTAATAGCGTCGCCTTTGGATCGGCACTTGACCGAAGTCGAGTCCGACCAATAAATTCGGTTTTCCGTGTCTTTTGATTATGATCGGTATTTATTGTTTCTACCGCGATCCTTCTGTTTCAGGTTGCTCAAAGGCCGATGTCACAAGACCAGACCTCATCGGTACAGATCGGTGACGGACAACCGACACTCCGCACTGATAAGCACTCCGTCTGGGGCGGCCGCCGGAGCGGCCACTGTGCCGTTATCACTTTCGCTTCAGTCCACGCCACTGACCACGTCACCTCCCGTGAACGACACCACCAACACCACTACCTTCGCCGCCACTGCCGCCGCCGCCATGGCTGCCGCCGCTGCGTCTAAGAAGACGACGTCCACTCCCGAGTACCCAGACTCGTTTCTAGTCCAGGAATGCCCTGAGGACACTGCCAAATATTGATCCCGAGAGGGATCAGGTGGTCGTTTCCGCCCAGCAGACTACGTCCTTTCGAAACTTGAAAATATACGAGTGTAATATTATGTTGTTGTTATTGTTATTTTTATTATTATGTTATCATAATATTATAACGATAATAGGTAATGTTATAGATCTCATAATATATTGTTATGTCCGATCAGACCGAGTTATTTCGCATAAGACGTACGTATACACCTCACGATGGTTACATAATAACATAAAGATCGTGTGGTCCAAGGAATTTATAAGTGTAATATTAACTCGCTATGATATTATGTTAGAACTTTTGTTGCAATCAATATTTCAATTTTTTTTCATATAATAATAATGTTATAATAAATAAAAATTGTAATTCTCTGTATGTTGATTATAACAAATGTTATCACGTCATAGTTGGTTAATATTACATTTGTCGGTTGATTCCTTCAGTTACACCCTGCAGATGTATATGTGTGTGCAGAGTGTCACTTCCGGATTTACATCCGCAGATGTTCCCAATTGAAATCGTTGTAATATGTAAAACCAGAGTACCAGAGTTATTTTAATATATTATTATTATCATATTAATAGACATATCACAATATGCGTCCACTCTTTCCTCCTTCGCCCATCACTCACTCGCTCGCTCCCTGTCCGGGCTCTCACTCTCCCGAAGGCACCTACACACGCATTCGTATCTATGCCTTTTCGTGCGATGTAAATCGGGGGTTCATTTCACGTGCGGGAAATAATAACGACCGTTGACGATGGAGAGGGTCAATCAATCTTTATGAATACCCATCCCGTAGGAAAAAAGCAAACGCACCGGAGACCGGGAAGTAATATTATGTGAATTATCGCACCTCTCGGGTGGATGAAAAAAAAAAATAATAATAAGGGTGCATTGCGGTTTTTAGTCGTTAAATTGATGAGCAATCCGAAAATTACATATTTGCGAAAAATCCGAGTATACGATATCGGTATAACGAGTTCCGTAAGTTAAGCGGGAGAAACGGGAGCTCGAAGAATAATTCTTCGCATAAATAACTATTATATTATTATTATTATTATTACTTGAACGTGCAAAATATTATATCGGTGAGTTTTTCATTTTTATTTTCGTTATTTCATGTCAATTCTATAGTATTTCGTAGGTATAGATAATAATACTATATATAGGTACTCGTTAAGAATATTTTAGCACGATTTTCGGGTATACCAAAGATTAAGCTGATGTTAATAATATTATTCTTACTATTGTATAGTTTTAATAAAATGTACCGGCAGTTGCGTAGGTAGTTATTGTTATACCAACACCGATGTTCGTCAAACTGATTTACTGAATTTATAGTTAACAGGTAGTTTAATAGTTAACTACAGTAATTGTACAATAAATAATGTTATTAAGTACCTATAATAGTGCTTTTAGAAATAATTATAGATTAGCTATCATTGTTAATTTATTTTATATATATTTTTTTTGATAAGATATATACCTGCAGTGTGTTATTAATATCTTAAGTTACGTTCAAATTAATTTATGTTTGTTATTCAAAGATTTGTATCATAATAATAATTATAATAAGTGAGTGGAAACGTAGTTATTTATTCGTTTTAAATCTAAAAACATATTATAGTTAAATAGTATTCATTTATTATAAGAGTTATTAAAACAAAAAAAAAATAATAATAATAATAACATTATTATTTAAAACTCATACTTTTCGATTTTAAAAATTATTATATTATAACAAGTGTAAAATTGTTTATCATGAAAGTTTAAGAATAAATAAAACTATAAAACCAAATCAACTTGGTTATAGCCTATTTTATGTACTGAACCTCACAAAAATTAATACAGGGACTCTGTTATTGATTTTTAAATTACATATTAAGTAATTTACGAAGTATTTCTTATATTGGATTTACATGTTATGTCTAGTTTAGGATTAAAAGTACTTATGTCGGGACTTTGGTAGTCTATTACACGCACCATTAGTACTATTCTTGTGTAATAAATACTGTCTAAAATCTGTAAAAACTCACCGTTTCCCTGAAAAACCGAAATAGTTTTGTTGAAATAGTAACTATAAACGGATTAAAAACGTTTTTTTTTTAAATATAAACTGTTAAAACTGTAGTTCAAATAGGTCTTGTTTTCGATATTAGATTTTCAACTTTTATGTTAATAATATTAAATGAAGCTATATCAGTAATTGGAATGATTCGTCGAAGTTCGAGAGTTGTTTTTATGCAATTCACAATAATATTGGTGGTTCTCTATAGAAGTCCAGGGACGTAAATCCAATAATTATTGAACTTTGCTACGCGCGCCTATGCTTCGGTTGTTCAGGCGAAATTTGTAAATTCCACATTGTGAACAAAGTGTTGCCGTTATTAATTTTATTCGATTCAATAGTAATTTTATTCAGTTTTTATTGATTTTTATACCTTTTGAATTTGGTTTGATGTTTACGCAGTATGATTTTCGTTTCGAAACCGCGTAATATCATAATCATCAAATAATAATAATATTATTATTTTGAATAGAAGTGTTATATTAAAAAAATAGTGTACAATATCGGTCAAATGTATTCATTAACGAGGCTTGATTTTGAGGGCAGCTTTGATGAAGCTGGATCACTTGTAATACAATGCTATGTGACTGGTACTTGCTGTATGTATACCTGCACACAGTTTTAATCAAACACCTCGAACGAGTGGTTTAAACACTTCATCGCGTACAACAGGTCGATAATATTATATTTTTGTAGGATTGATAAAAAAAAAATATATATACATAATATTAATATAATTTATTTATATTTATACCTCGAACGGTTTGATTAACTTTAACGCATTACGTGGCCAGTTCGAAGTACACGCGGTTTTATTAATTTTTGGAATTGGTGTTTCAAAATCACTAGAGTTATTCTGATAATTCCAGTCGAACGGGTATGCTAATTTCTTTCTTTCTTTATAAAACTTGTAATTTTTGACAGTACGTTATTTTTTATATTACGTAGGTACTGTTTCTTATAGGGATCAAAATTTTATGAAAAAATGGTTTTTTTCCTAAGGAACTGAAAAAGTAATGTATAGTGGAAACAATCTAATAAATAATGATAGTTGATACTTGATAATCATATAATATACATATTATATATACCATAATGTAAGAGTGGGATACTTTACTCAAAGGGGTTAAACATTGCTAGAAAAAAAATATTTATTGATATCAATCGTAGCACATTACGCTTTGAGATAAGAGATCGTAGTTTTTTTATATTGTTCTTATTAACATTACAAATTATATTTGGAGCAAAGTATCCTCCTCTCACGGTACCTAACTTAAAGTCTGTAGTGGATAGTTAATAGTTTAATTTTAAATTTTGATACAATAATAATATATTGATAACCGTATGGGCAAATGTGAAATGACAATGACAGGTTTCCTTATGTATTTTTTAAAATGGCTATATAAACATAGATTATTTTAATTTTTAACATTAAATACAATTTTTTTAATTTTCCCAACATTCATTTTTTTTTTAAGTTTCCGAAAACGTCATGTTTTTTTGGAAATGTATTATTTTAATATTTTCCAATTTTTCCATGTTTTCCGAGACTCTTTTTTTCAGAAATTTTCCCTAATGTTTCTGACCATATTAGATTATATTATATTATTATACAATAATATTACAAATGTATGGTTAAATGATTATTTCAACCTCTCAAACATGACTTGTCTTTCAGTTACTAAAGTTGGCTGTAATTTTGTTTTTCTATTTCTATTATTATATATCGTTCAAAATAAACTGCATATAATATTTTAACGTTATATGAAGTGAAATATCTATTATGTCTCATGTCCAGAAATAATTGAGAAAAATTGTATGAAAAATTGTAATCGATCAGAATCTTACGAACCACAATGTATAATAATTTGACATACGTAATATATATTATTTTTACTGTATATTTGATTTTAATTTTAAAACCCAAAAAGGAAATATTTTGAATGAAAAAAGTTTTTATGATTTACGAGGGTATTCTCAAAGGGTCAGATTAGTATAAAAAGTATTACTCCTATTATTAATATCAATGGATATTCAATATATTTTAACCTAACCTATAAAGTCACTATTGATACAAAGACACTAAGTCGTACAAGTTAAAGCAGTTGAAATGTATTATGAAATAAAATCTATCATTACAATAATAATAAATTATTATTACAAACAAATAACACATTTTTAAATAATACTGAATAAATTTATATTAAACCTAATTATTTTCTTATAGTAGGTAGTTAATTACAATGATAAAATACTTGGAAATTCCATTTGATAAATGAGAGTTCGGAAACCTGTTTCATGTCATAGACCAACAAATAATAATATACATTTTGCACGGGCCACCTACCTTATTTTATTTTAAACAAAAATGTATTGTCATATAAAATTTAGTTTATTTGAATTCATAACTGTTGGGTATATTAATTTAATAAGGTATTTACAAACAAACAACGGGTACACAATGTAATTTTTACACAAACTAAACATTTTACTCACGGGCCTCATATACAATAATTACTACGATGGCCATGGATTGCCGGTGTAACAGGCGATTTTTACCCCCAGATATTTCCTCCCTCCCTAAATAAACCTAGGATATTTCCTCCCTCCCTAAATAAACCTAGGATATTTTTACCGGGGGTAAAATAAACCTAGGATATTTATACCCCAGGTAAAATTATTCGACAGGGGGTTAATAATATCCTAGTATATTTTTACCCCCCTGTCGATCAATTTTACCGGTGGTATAAATATCCTAGGATAATTTTACCCCCCTCCCCCAACGGTAAAAAAAATTGAGGGTATTAGAAACCTGCGACACCGGAACTGTGCTAAATTATAATCTATATCGATTAATATAGATCCTTATCACTTAAGGGTATGCAAAATAAAAGATAAGATTAAACACGTATTCCGTCTTCATAG